GAAAAAAAAGCAGTATTACTTTTATGTAAAACAGCTGTGACTGTGTGAAATGACCGAAAAATGTATAATACTATATGTGCCATTAATTTAATATTCTTAAGTCTTCCCCCTTTATTTTCTCCATTTGCATCGAGAAGTCTCTACTACCTCACTACTGAACCAGACTTTTCAAAAACCAAAAACATCTTTCTAGAAGTCTCCCCCACAACCCCAATTTTCTCAGTTTTTATGTTTTTTTACTCCGTCTTCTTCTTTTTTATTTTCTGCTCCGCTCGAGGGGTTCATTATATACATCAGGCGGGGCCAACGCTCCAGGATGCTGGTTTCTTTCTTCTTCTGGGACTAATCACTTTTTCTTTTTGAAACTGTATAGTGTGAATTTGATCATACGAAGTAGTTTCCTATATTTAATTTTGGATATTTGGAATAATTGAGTTTTGGTGTTCGTTTGGGCAATCTGGGCTTTCCTAATTTGCAGAAATACGAAGATCAGTCGCTTATAAGCGGTGCAATCTGGGAAATACGGGCAAATCTGCGATGCCAAAACCGAATCTAGTCCTCGCCGAAAAAGATGGTGGTATTTCTTGGCGCGATTTTGTTAGCAATGGACAAGAGATGGGAGAAGTGGCGGATTCAGGAAATAATATTAGGGGGTCAGTAAGAATAGCGCGCAAATTTTTTTTAACAGAAATTACATGCATATCGTCATTTCATCGAGTCTTGGTAGGCCTGAAGTCATTTGGAAAGGCATATTGCACACATGTTAATGCCTCATTTGCGTGGGTAACTAACATGTTCCAAGACTGCTCCTACATGAATACTTAACAAAGAAACACACTTATCTTGAACACACTAACAATGTTTGATATCATTGCATCCCATTAATATGTTTGTCCAAGAATGATGATGCTTTGTTATTCTCTGATATCACCATTTCATTTACTTTGCATTTTTGGATAGTTTTTTACTTGGTTCTTTTTTTCTGCCTACAATTGTAATCACAACCAACAAACAAGCCATAGGTAAATAACAATGTTTGATATCATTTACTGAAGTTTGGACGGTCAGCACTCAAGTTATCCATGAACATTTACTGAAGTTCGGAGGGGGGGTCAGCTGTCCCATCTGCCACTCAATGCATGGGAGGAAGGGCAGAGGCAGAAACAACATCCTAGACATATATTTTTAGAGTTGTAAGTGAGAAGAGAAAAATGTATAATACTATATGTGCCATTAATTTAATTTTCTTAAGTCTTCCCCCTTTATTTTCTCCATTTGCATCGAGAAGTCTCTCCCACTACCCCACTACTGAACCAGACTTTTCAAAAACCAAAAACATCTTTCTAGAAGTCTCCCCCACAACCCCAATTTTCTCAGTTTTTATGTTTTTTTGCTCCGTCTTCTTCCTTTTTATTTTCTGCTCCGTTCCTCAATCTCTCATCTGTCATCTAATTTGCAGTACATACATGGTCTAGCTGCTCGAGGAGTTCATTATATACATCAGGCGGGGCCAACGCTCCAGGATGCTGGTTTCTTTCTTCTTCCGGGACTAATCACTTTTTCTTTTTGAAACTATATAGTGTGAATTTGATCATATGAAGTAGTTTCCTATATTTAATTTTGGATATTTGGAATAATAGAATTTTGGTGTTCGTTTGGGCAATCTGGGCTTTCCTAATTTGCAGAAATACGAAGATCAGTCGCTTATAAGCGGTGCAATCTGGGAAATACGGGCAAATCTGCGATGCCAAAACCGAATCTAGTCATCGCCGAAAAAGATGGTGGTATTTCTCGGCGTGATTTTGTTACCAATTGACAAGAGATGGGAGTAGTGACGGATTCAGGAAATAATATTAGGGGGTCAGTAAGAATAGCGCACAAATTTTTTTTAACAGAAATTACATGCATATCATCATTTCATCGAGTCTTGGTAGGCCTGAAGTCATTTGGAAAGGCATACTACACACTTGTTTGAGGTGCTCAAAAGAAAGTCCCAAGATAAAGTACAAGATAGGATATAGGGGTAACCTAGCACTCCAAATCTCTGATAACTGTACCGCTACCCCACCTACGAACCTCTCGAAGCTACTCAGACTTGTTACATGTAAGATCAGTGCCTATACCATCGAAATGGTGCACCGGCAAACAACAACCCGGATAAGCTACGAACTTATGTGAGCGACAAATAATTCAAAGTATATGATACTAATAAAAAAAACAGTCACCATTCACAATTTATAACCTTGAATATAAATCATTCATAAGAAATCGCTACCAAACCTTACCACCTCCAAAGGAGTCACACATACATCCAACAAGTTTTCTAAATCAAAAATTAGAGTTCTCAAAGTCACATTCACATATATATTCAAAACTAGAGTTAGAGAGACGTCGTTCGGCTGAAGCCTACGCAAGTAACCAAATAGGAAATGGCCCCCCAAAGCGGATCAACCAAGCAGAGCCACCCCTGAGAAAGTAACCAAGTAGGTAGTGACCCTCCAATGCGGATTAACCAAGCAGAGTCACCCCTGAGAAAATAACCAAGTAGGTAGTGACCCTCCAATGTGGATTAACCAAGCAGAGTCACCCCTAAGAAAATAACCAAATAGGTAGTGACCCCCCAATACGGATTAACCAAGTAGACTCACTCCTATAACTATTGGAATGTGATCACCCAATGCGGATTAACCAAGCATGATCACCTTTAAACGTTTATGGCCATACCTAGGCTATAAGGATCGCCCAACGCGGATTAACCAAGCGCGATCCACAAATAGTATGGTCCCCTAACGCGGATAAACCAAGCAGGACCATCCAGGACCATTGCTACGTGGTGCAAACTTAATGTCACCTAACCCCATGACACTAGGGTAATGGTCCTTCACAATCCATCATTTTTATCATCCATCACATATATATCCCAAAACACAATCCATAACAGTTCAAATATCCAAGTCACCTAATGTTGCATAAGTAGATCGACGACAATTTACTAGAAACAATTATTTAGCATCAGAACTATTTTAAGAATCCATAGTGTAACCACAAAGTTTATTAGCACAAAAGATTTCAAAGCAATAACCATAACACATAGATTAGAATCACTCACCTGAGAACCACACTAAAGCACTCAAACACGAGAGTCAAGGCATCACGTTCTATCACCGCCTAACAAGGTACAAACCACATTTAGATTTCCTTCGATAATTCACATACTTAAAACTCTTATATATTTCCCACAACAACATTTAATGAGGAATCGAACTGTCATTCTAAGGTAGGGTCCATGATCTTACGTCACTTATTCCGTAATATCCAATCATTAGATTTTCACTTGTAAGTCCCTAAGGTCCTTAAACATTAACTACCATAGCATACTAAAAGTGGTGTCAATTCAATGGTAAGATCATCAATCGCTAAAGTAATCAAGTGGCGGAGCTTATCGATAAAATACTTAACCAACAACATTTTTATAAATCGAATGTCACACACCAGAAAATTTGACTTTCTCCAAAAATTCTCAAATTTTACATGAATAAAGATTTCAACAAGTAGAGTAAACTTTATACCTGTGGCCGAGTCCAATTTGGCCAAGAAGGCCCTCAAATTGGCTCGCACCCAACGAAACCCTAAGGTGGGTGTCCTTAAATTCGGCTTCCTTGGTGTTCCAACGCCCCAACCACCAGTTGGGTCTTGTTCCTGGGTCCAAGGGAAGTTGATTAAGGATTATGGTTAGTGGTGATACTCTCCTGAACGACAATTCGTCGTCGAGAACCCCTCGGGTTCTCCTATGGAGTTATACCCGAATTGGACCTTAAAAACCCTTCATTTTTTATAGAGAGGGAAGGGAGAAGATATTTAAGCAAGTTACAGGTGAAGAAGATAGGAGAATCAGCTGAGAATTGGAGAAACTTACCTGAAATGGCCGGTTTGAAATGGTTTGGTGGTGCTCACGGTTCACCAAGGGGAAGAAAGAAAAATGTCCCCTTTTTCCCTTAGTTTGCCTTTTCTAGCCTCCCCCCCCCAAAAACCATCTGATTGTTCTTTTTTATTTTTTATATTATTATTATTTTAAACTAACTTAACTTTTAATTCACATGTGGAAATTAAACAATTCCCACAATCTATAGTTCACAACTTCAAACGTCCGTAACTATACCGTTATAATTCGGATTCACAAACGGCTTTCGCCTAAGCGCTCAGGGGTTCGATATCTATTTAAAAACACTAGTTGTAACTTCGAAATATCAACGAAAGATAAAGATTGATTATGAAATTTTCAACTCGATAACTAAACAATTACTAAACTTAAAATTAATGGAATTAAAGATAACTAATAAAGTTAACATAAGCGCAAAATACGAGTTTTAAAATACGAAATACGTAATAATTGGTGAAATTCTGGGGATGGAATTTCACAACAATTGTAATCACAACCAACAAACAAGCCATAGATAAATAACAATGTTTGATATCATTTACTGAAGTTCGGATGGTCAGCACTCAAGTTATCCCTGGACATTTACTGAAGTTCGGGGGGTCAGCTGACCCCCCTGCCACTCAATGCATCCGCACCTGGATGGGAGGAAGGGCAGAGGCAGAAACAACATCCTAGACATATATTTTTAGAGTTGTAAGTGAGAAGAGAATAAGGGTTTGTTTGGTATTGCTGTACTTTGAAAAAAAACTGCTTCTGCTGTACTGTGAGAATAAGCGGCTGTGAAATAAAATTGTAGAGTGTTTAGTAAACTTTGTTGTAAAAATGCTTTTGAAAAAAAAAAGCAGTATTATAGTGTTTGATAAATTTTTATGTAAAACAGATGTGAAAAAAAACCGGTTTTTCAAAGTTAGGTTTTGCAGCTTCTTATTTTTGGTTTTTTTTTCACCCAAAACTGTGAAAAAAAAGCTAAAGCTGAATATTTACCAAACACAAAAAAACTCCCAGCTTTTCTTGATACCAACTTTTTTTCAGAATCACATCAGTACCAAACCAGGTCTAAAAATGATGCGACGAATACATGTAAAAAAAAAAAAAAAAAAAAAAAATAGACGCTGAGATATAATATAAATAGGGAGCCGGAGCCGAAGCAAAACGATTAAAAGAAGTCGGCGCTGGAAAATCAAACTCGGTCAAAAGTAACAGGTCTGTTCGTTCGCTGATATCAAATCCTGAATATGATTTCCGCAAAAATTGAATTGGGAATTTTTCAATTAACGAAAACCCTAATCGATCCCTCTTTTTCGTATTTGCTGTTTTATCTTTGTGGACCTTTAAATCTTTTGAATTCTAGCCATACATTGCTTACTTATAATCATGTTGTTGTTCTCATGTTTGTTTGGTGGGTTTGAATTTTCGCAGACAACAGGCGTAGCCATGGAAGGAAGATTTTCCAGGACTCGCAGACCTTCTGCTCCTCCGGGTAGGGATTTTTTTTTTTTTTTTAATTTTGTGGTATTTTTTCGGAATTGGAAGTTGCTTTGTTAATATTTTGCAGTAACACTGTGTTTGGATTCGTTAAAATAACTCAGGAATTGAGTAAAACTCGGTAATTGAGCATAGAAATTGTGTTTTCCCTTGTTTTGCAACTATAGTTTTGCCCTCTTTGAATATATAACCCAAAAAATTGAAGCGGACAATTATATTTTCCCGTGCCCCAAACCCTCCCTCCTAATGTTTTAATGGCGTCGAGTAACCGACCCCACTTAGTAGCCGACCCCACTTAGTGGGAAAAGGCTTTGTTGTTGTTGTTGTTTGAGTAAGTGATCACCAAGTCCATGCAGTTGAAAGACATTGCAGGACAAAGCACATAACCGAATCTCCCAAATGGGGTAATAGAAAATTTAAAGACAAAAATCGAGGAAGGTGTAAAGCTCGTTTACGAGTGCTTGAAGATACTTAAGGTTCATGGAGTAAGGGATGGGAAGGAGAAATTGATCTTCACAAGGAAGAGAGATTTGCAGCTATTATTTTCCTGAAGATTCTTTTCTGAATTTGGTTTCCTATCCTCTAGTAAATGGGTTTCTATCTCGGTTTATGTTAGATGTTGGTCCATTTGGTTCACATTAAAATTCGAATTTATTACAATTTGTTAATCTGTTCTTTCTCTGTTCGGTGATATTACAATAGTGAAATGGGACCTCTGACGGGACACGCATCTGCTTTTATTTGGTTAAAATCTTTTTGCTGGACAATGTCAGTGCTAACTTAGAGCAATTTTTATGTCATATTTCATTCAAAACATCCCATCAATAGAATTTCTAATGTATTTTATTTTCAAATTCCACATGCATATCTCCTAACAATGGGATTTGTAATTGTCTGAGTTTTAAATGATGGGAATCTAATTTCCGTATTGTTTTGCAATTTCATCATCCAAACGTAGTGTGAGGGTTTTTGGCGTGTAGATATCTTTCTTCTCTAGGATAAAAGCCGGTTGGTCTCTGTAGTTTAAACTTTTTTTTTTTACTTCAAACTCTCGCAGACACTGGCTTGATATTGTCATGCTTTTAGTCTTGGAGAGGAGATAATTTATTTTCTGATTGTTCAATTTCTGAGGTAACAGCTGAGTTTTTCACCACTGCTCGTTCTATGCTGGAGCAAGCGCAGGCACGCAACGCTGAGGTTCTTGAGGCTTCTCGGGCGTTCAAAGGACATGCATATTCAAATTCCATCTATTATTTAGAGCCTTGGAGTATGCCCGGATTTGTAAGAATTCCTTTCAACCATAGTCCTAATTTATGCTTTCAGTCGATGCGTACACTTTATTCTAATTTGAGCCTCCCTCCTTGCATGTGACCCGGGAGAAGGCTCAAAGAGAGGAAACTGCTGTGGCTTCCGGGATGGCTATGTTGAAGGCTAAGATTGACAGGGGCGAAATTCCTGGCATTGTTAAGGGGCAGGGGAGGTTGGTTGCCATTTCCCTTGTGCACTAGCTTTCTTTATTTTTTGCACCGCTTCAGCAGAACAAGATTTTGCTATATTTAATTGTATTTCTTCATAAGCGGTTTCAGGATTTTCGTTAAGAAGCGCAGATGGGAGTTCCCAATTCCAGGAGCTGGGGAACTGAGGAAGAGGCGTCCAGATTATGTACCAGTAAGAATGCCACCACGTCAAACATGTTTTAGTTCCTTGCCGTGCATTCATTCAGTGGATATACTACACGTATATAATATGTTCCAAATTGAACCTTCATGTAGGTGACTGTGGAGAAAGATGCAAGGAGTAATGGCATTCCTGGCATTAGCATGAAGAAGTTAGTTTCCAATTCCCTTTTAATTAATTTGTTTCGTTTTTCATTTATGCCTTTCGGTATGTGTTTGCAAATCCGACAGAAAAGAGAGAGAAGAAGAGCGAAGATATATGCACAGAAAGCCCCACATGCCTGCTACATTTGTTTTATCGTGCAATTTAAGATTACATGCAGGCCATAGCCTTAGGCACACAGATAGGATGTGGTCATGTGTGTTGTTCACTTGTTCGTTTAGATGTATGCATGAATGTATGCGTGTGTTGAAGGCTTCCTGCCAAGTAATTATTGTATGCCATATCAGTGTGTAAGATTTGCACACAGAAAGCAAAACTTATATAACTCCAAAGTGAAGGTTCATTTGTCTGCAGCTCTCTTCTCACATCATTTTGGTTGGACCATCTTGGTTTAATTTCCGACTGCAGATATCATGTCCATGGTGAGATGCCAGTTGGGGAATTTGTTTATTTTATTCGGCATCAGATCGAGCTCCCCATGTCCAAGCCTCTGTTTGTTCTTCAAAAACACTGAACCTGCTGCTGGTGAGCCACAAACTCATTTTTATTTTAGGCATAACAATATCGCCTTGTCGCACAGTTAAAGTTGTGGTGGTGATGGTTGTAATGATTCTAACAAATGTAAATGTTACAGATGCCTTGATGTCAGAAGTGGATGGGGAAAATAGGGATGAAGATGGGTTTCTTCACATGTCCTACAGTGGAGAAGCGAATGCCTCTGGATCCATCAATCACGAGCAAGAATGGATGGACAAGGCACTGCCTGGATATCGCCGGTTGTACATGCAAGGTGCTTAGTCATCAAACTTTGATATCCAGAAATGGGAGGGGATCAACAGTACTGGAACTATATTGAAGTTTATGGCATTCCATTCCATGGTTGGAGACTTTAATGCATGTACTTGAAGTATATTTTGAGGACTATGCGTCGGACGGCGTAAATATGATAAACTTTCTTCTGTGTCTAAATAGGGATTTTGTGTGTCTGCATTTTCATGCACTTGGGAATTCCTCATCAATAACGCCTTTTATTCCCATAAAAAAATGCTTAAATTTGAAATTTAGATGTGGGTTTGTTGATGGATTAATTTCGGGAATTCATTTGTTAAAGTATCACATTGAATTTTAAAGAGTGGACTTGAATTGGATTTTGACAGCTAGTGGTATTCCTCTTCACTGATAAGTGAGACGTCTTACGTTCGATTATTGCCAAAGGCGAATTTGAACTGCATTATTGCTAGACTTGGCAGTCTTTGACACGACACGGTGACACGATACGAAAATAATGGGTTTCGGGTCAACACGATAACTTATCGGGTCACTAACGGGTTCTTAACAGGTATACACGCGGGTAACACGTGGGTAACCCGTTTCGACCCGTTAAGAAAAAAATTATTTTAATAATTTTAATGTTTAATTACTAAAAGATTTATTATAAAATACAATAGTCATATTAATATATACAATATATTCTATATTAAATATATAGTTTTGTATTATCGTTCTATATAAATTATAAAAAAATAAAAAAAAAGTTTTAGTCATTATTTATTTTTATTATGAGAGTTCCTTATTATCATTACTAGGATAAATTTTACATAACATATTCTTGTCCAAAATTAAAATATACTAGTATAGTATTTGTATATGCAAGAACTAAGAAGACATACATACAAGTATGAAAAATGTGAAAGATATATAAACACTTGTGATTTATCATTATTCCTCTACGAATAGATAATTGTTACACTTATATTATCGTTTAGATTTTTAAAATCCTTCAAACCCTCATGAATAATGTTTTTTATTTGAGGGAAAAATTAATAAAATTAATAATAATTATTGTAGAAGTGTAAAAAATGTAAAAATATATATATACGACTCATATATAAAAAAATGTAAATGCTTTAAATTAAAAATCAAATTTATTCATTACATTCTTATAGGGTCGAAGAGTGTATATGTACAAAATCATCAAAATCGAAGCTAAAATAACCGTTAAATTGTAATTTTTCGTTTATAACCGTCGAAAACTTTTGTTCCGTTACGTAATCTCTTAGGATTACATCAAGGCTCATCCTTAAGTCCTTACCTTTTTGCGTTGGTAATGGATGAGTTAACAGGACATATTCAAGGTGATATTCCTTGGTGTATGCTTTTCGCAGACGATATAGTGTTGATAGATGAAACTCAAGAAGGGGTAAATGCAAAGCTTAACCTTTGGAGAGAAGTGTTGGAATCTAAAGGTCTTCGCCTAAGCCGATCAAAGACAGAATATATGGAGTGCAAGTTCAGTGCAAATGGAGGCCAAAACGAGTTAGGGGTGAGGATCGGAGATCAAGAAATACCAAAGAGCGACCGTTTTCGTTACCTAGGATCTATCTTGCAAAAGAACGGAGAATTAAATGGAGATCTCAACCATAGAATACAAGCTGGATGGATGAAGTGGAAGAGTGCATCCGGCGTGTTGTGTGACCGCCGTATGCCACTGAAGCTCAAGGGAAAATTTTATAGGACGGCAATAAGGCCGGCGATACTGTATGGCACAGAATGTTGGGCGGTGAAGCATCAACACGTACACAAAATGGGTGTAGCGGAGATGAGGATGCTTCGTTGGATGTGTGGGCACACGAGAAAGGATAAGATTAGGAATGAGGATATCCGGGGTAAAGTAGGAGTAGCCGAAATTGAAGGAAAGATGAGAGAAAATCGGTTACAGTGGTTTGGACATGTGCAAAGAAGGCCTACTGACGCTCCGATTAGAAGATGCGACTATGGGATAGAGGTTCAGGGCCGAAGGGGCAGAGGAAGACCTAGGAAAACTTTGGAAGAGACCCTAAGAAAAGACTTAGAGTACTTGGATCTAACGGAGGACATGACACAGGACAGAACACAATGGCGTTCTAAAATTCATATAGCCGATCCCACTCAGTGACTTGGATTTTCCAAGTCTCCAACCAAGAAGTTTTCCTCACTCGGGAAATTAAGGGAACACTACCTCAACCTATATGCTCCACTCACAAAGCTTCAACGTACAAGCTTCAACAAAAGAAAATTCAAAGAACTTAGCGAAGAAGGCTTTGGTGTATTTAACACAATACGTTGAAATGAAGGAAAGCTTATTTATTGATATCCCCGATAAGTTACAAATATGTACATATACTTGAGTCAAAATAAACAAACAAGAGGGAACCTTCACAAAGGTTGCTTAGGAGAAGTCTCAGCAGTCGGTAGAGCCCCAGAAAGAGAAGGCACCGGAGGAGGGATCATTCGGAGCCTCAGTACTGGACAAAACCCTAGAAGGAGGAGGCATCAGAGGTTGATCATTTGGAGCTTCATTACGCGGTACAGCCCCAGAAGACGAAGGCAATAAATGCCTTTGGAACAAACCCACAAATCTCTGATGATCAAGTAAAACCTGACCATCAGATTCCTTCATCTGGTCAAGCTTCCTCTTCATGTTTGTAGCATATAGTCATGTGCGAGCCGGTGCAACTGTTTATTCTCATGCTTGAGCCCTCTAATCTCCTGTTTGAGACTCATCACTTCAGCCCCCAATGATTCAACTTGGCGGGTTCGAGCAAATAGGCGTTGGGCCATATTAGACACAGAACCTGCACACTGAACACTGAGAGCCAGAGAATCCTTAACAGCCAACTCATCAGACCGTTTGGAAAGTAGTCTGTTATCTTTGGGAGTGAGAAGGTTCCTGGCCACTACCGCAGCGGTCATATCATTCTTCATCACGGAATCCCCAACGGTAAGAGGACCAGTAGGGGAGACGAAGGATGGGCGCCATATGTTGTCTGGAGAAGGCGGGGCTGCCTCTTCAACAAGGTTCAAGTCAAAACGACGGTCGGAGGGGCCAGACATTTTCAAAGGTGTTGAAGAGAGAAGAGGTCGGACAAATCAAGATCTTAGAAGTGCAAGAATGGAGCTTCTACTGGTGGATATTCAAGTGTGCTTTGGAACTTAATGTCAGCCCCTATAAAAAATCTGCACTCGACGAAGCTTCAGAAATCGAAGAGGCGCCTGCTCAGAAATCGAAGAGGCGTTTGCTTTTCTCAAAAGCTGGGCTGCTCAGAGACCACGAGGGTCGATCTCAGAAATCGAAGAGGCGTTTGCTTTCTCAAAAGCTGGGCTGCTCAAAGACCACGAAGGCCGATCTCAGAAATCGAAGAGGCTTGCTTTCTCAAAAGCTGGGCTGCTCAGAGAGACCACGAGGGCCGATCTCAGAAATCGAAGAGGCACCTACTTTTCCAGCCTTGTCAGCACCTGTCACACGCACACTCAGCTTTGCGGAAATTATGGGCATTCTGTCGAAGATTTCTGACGAAGTAGAAAGCACATGAATCGTACTGTTCAATCACCCACTTCCCACACGCAACAGTAGCTCATGGGTACCACAGATAACTTTGCCAAAGTTCTCTGACAAAGTTGAGACACGTGAAGCTTGCAGCTCCCACTACATCGCTCTGACCAAGAAGGGTAAAAGAATTGCAAAGAAACAACACTAACAAAGTTTAAACACATAAATTTTGAAGGTTTAGCTACCATATTATTACCCACAAGGGTAAAGGAACAGTACCACTGCTGGATAATTGGAAAGTCCCGGTGTGTCAACCTCTGTGCTTCGTGGCAAGGTAGACTAGCAAACATGCCCAACCTTTACTCACATTCGAGAAAACACTCCCAACAAGATTGCTTGCTCCAAAATCGAAGAGGCACCGCCCTCCGAATCTCGAGAGCCAGACTCCCAACATGATTACTTTCTCAAAAAATCGAAGAGAGGGTAAAGGAACAGTACCACTGCTGGATAATTGGAAAGTCCCTGTGTGTCAACCTCTTGTGCTTCGTGGCAAGGTAGACTAGCAAACATGCCCAACCTTTACTCACATTCGAGAAAACACACTCCCAACAAGATTGCTTGCTCCAAAATCGAAGAGGCACCGCCCTCCGAATCTCGAGAGCCAGACTCCCAACATGATTACTTTTCTCAAAAATCGAAGAGACACCGCTCTCCGAATCTCGAGAGCCAGACCCCCAGCAGGATTGCTTTCTCAAAAATCGAAGAGGCATCGTTCTCCGAATCTCGAGAGCCAGATCCCCGACAGGATTGCTTGTTCGAAAATCGAAGAGGCACCACTTTCCCAACTTCAAGAGCTGGATCTCCTTGGATAAAGCTTGTCTGTAATCTTCACACGCAACATCAGCTTTCCAGATACCACAGACCACTTTTTCAAAGTGCTCTGACAGAGTTAAAACATGTGAAGCTGGCAGCTCCCACTACCGTGCTATAACCAAGCAGGGTAAAGGAATAGCATTATTACTTGATGTTAGGGAGACTCCTATATATGTCGACCTCCATCCCTAACGGACAGGCAGACCTGCAAAAATGCTCAACCCTTTCTCTTATCTGAGAGGGCACTCCCAACGAAGCCTTTCGAAATATTCAGCTTTCTTTCCCCCCGATAATACCTCTGTAAACAAGCTATACTAGAGCAAGAATATCTCATATCATCAGGGTTAAAAGCAAGAGTATCCCATATCATGCTTTTTCCCTGTCTTTTCCTTTGGCCTTTGTTCTTACCTGCAAGACAAGGAGAAAGAGAGCAATCAGTCAGCACTTGGAATCAAGCTTCCAGCCAGGAACTGACTGCCTGGAACCCCTTACCTGATTACTTACCTGGCATTGCTCTCGAGTACTCATCTTCAACATCTTATGCTTCCAGGGAAGATACCGCATCTGCCTGAGGAACAAATAGGGCAAGTGAGAAGGATACAAGGAAGCATGTGGAGACAAGCGTAACAGCACACGTGCCGATACATCCATTACTCTGTCAAAAGCAAAAGTATCCCATATCAGCAGGGTCGAACGTACTCTAGATTTGATGGACTTGTTTTGACCCTCAAATTCTTCAGTCGGCCTTATACTCTGGAGGAAACCAGAAAACCCTCCAGCCCAGTTCAAGAATAAGCCTGTGGAAAGTTACTTCTTCAAAAGCAAAAGTATCCCATATCATCTCTCCTCATTTTTCTTCTCTTTATCCTTCATGCTGCCTGCAAGATAGGGAGAATGTGAACAATCAGCCGAAGCTCTGATTGCTTACCTTGTCTGTCACCTCTTTCAGCAGATCCCCTAGCTCGGCGACTT